TGTGACCTGAGTAATCTGGCTCCTGTGAAACAGCTCCAATCAAACTGGAGCAGATTAAAAAGTCAGAGAAGATAACAATACTAAAAAAAGAATTTAACAGCTTTCAAATAAACTAATTATTAAAACTATGTTTTCCTGAGGTACTAGAAGTCAGTTTAGCAACAAGATCTTTTCTGCTATGAATAGAGAGCTATCAGTTTGGTCTATCAGAAGTCTCACAGGATTTTTTAATGGCAGTTTTTAGTTCAGGTAAACACTATCCTATATTCCATTCCAACTCCTTTAGTTTATATTTTCAGGTACCTACTAAAATTCTAAAACCAGTAAAGAAAATAATTCTTCTTTGCCATTCACTTGTTTTTAACTCCCAATGTTAAGAAGTTGCAATGGCTGATCAGTAGAAGCTCCTCAAGAGTTTGTTCATTAAAAAAATCTGATCACTGGGGCTGACTACCAAGACCAGGTACAGAATTCTGATCCCCAAGCTACCGAGCTACTGTAAGAGTTGGCTCAATTCCCTCTGGAGGCAAGGTCAGGCCTAAATGCATGCAAATCCCAGGGTCTGAAGACGTACGTTAGACTGTAAGACAAAACAGAAATCTCTGCACTGAATTCTTAATCAGCACATGAAGGTCTCACAAATAAAGCAGTGCTGTAATTCATCACTATGATAAACAAGCATTCTAATAATTTCTGTATGATTTGGGGAAATGTGCATAAAATTTGCCTGTTTGATTGATGATATGGAATGATACAACTGCTATATGTTTGGCTACCACCATAAATATCTACCCACATAAATATCTATCTACCTTTGCAGACCAGAATTCTATCACATTTTTTCCTGGAAAAGCATTAATGGAAACCAGCGAATTTAATGACTTGGCTCTGTCTATACTTTAGGAATACTACAAAAACAGACTGAAAGTATAATCTTGCCTTTGTAGCAAAGAGAAGATAGAGGTTATAAAAATACAAATTTTAGGTTCAAGTGGGAAAGATGCTGGTAGAACGTTTAATAGACTCTAAGAAACTACTGAAGGATTTAGCCAGGAGAAAAGATAAGTATGTTTAGCAAAAGACTTGCTAACTCAAGGGCAACCAGAAAGACACAGGACCATATTCCAGATGCAATTCAGGAGGATTAAAACACCTGAACAAGTAAAACTTCCAGGGTGTGTTATTTTAACACAGATAATTAATGTAGTATGTCATAGTGTTACAGTAAAAGACAACACTGGCTTTAGAATCCCTAGGAGTGTTTTTGGGTATGCTCACTTATCTGCCATGGCACCCCTGAGGATTCTGGGAAATTGTTTTTAACCTGAAGTGCAATCTTGAGATAGCTGCTCAGTTGCCTTAGGCAGCTGAACAGTGGATTCAAGCACAGGGGAGAGTGCTAAAACATGAAACCTTCTTTCAAGTGCTCCTAAGACTCCAGCCTTGGGGCAGTAACCACATTCCAGTTAGTTTCCAAATCATACTGGATCCAAGCAGTGCAGCCCAAAACTTCAGTATGGTGAGCAATCAATTGGAGAGGGTAACCAGATCCCTACAAACACTATTCAGATTATCATTTTAAATAATTCATAATTCCAGTTCATATCATATCAGGACAAAAGAGTCTTTCACAAAATGCTAACCTCAAATCCCTTTTGATGAAATAAAAAAACAGCGGTAAGCCAGAGAGGGGATTTTTCAGTGATATCAAAGGATCTCTCTCATCACTTGAAACTACTACTTTCTATTTATAATATTCTGATGTTACAGCTCAACTCCAAACCTGCATTAGCAGTACATATAAGTAACATTACTAAGCAGGTACAGATTAAGAAACAGTAAACTTAAGGATGCCCACATATCTCAATGAAAGCACATCTAACAATTCCACAAGTTCAATGGTACCTGCTGCCTTCAAATAGCAATAAACCTGTGGCAATAGAGCCTCTACAGCCAGAGGTACTTGGGAGTTTATGAAAATCAGACTCAGTATAGTATGAGTTTTGTTTAATTCTTTATGCAAGTTTTCTGCTTCCGAAAATATTTATTTTAATAATTCTGAAAAATATTCAGATTTTTAAAAATTGTTGCACAAAGTTTATATTATCTGGGGACATGGTCTTATAAATTAGTGCACACTGCCTGGATTGGGCAGAGACCCAGAAGTTCTGTCTATCCTCAGGTAGGAAGACATTTGAGGCCAGAGCCCTGCAAGGCATTATATGACAGCCCTGTGTCCCAGCAGCTGTGTGGGCTCTCAGATGAACCTGAATCAATCTTTGTAGACATAACTTAAAAAAAATCCTCTCCAAGCTTTGAATATAGATGGAGTTGGTATTTTGCTTGTGTCAGCTGTTGACCAATTTGACCAATCTAAAAGTTAATATAATCACTGAAAAAACCCCTCCATTAAATACTTTTACAGTCTTGAGTACCAAGAGTTTATTTACTCTCTTTCTAGTGTAATTGAAAATAATAATAGATAATTAATCATTTAGAGTACCTTAAAATAATGTTTCCTGCCCCAGGTAGATGGAATTTTGCAGAACAAATACTAACCTGGATTTAAATTGAAGAATGAGATTTACAAATAACTGCACACAAACTATCTGTGAATAGAGAGAAGTGATTAAAGAAATTCTTGGTAATTTCAGCCAGATCAAAGACTTAGGTCAATACTGACATCCTTTAACCCTCTTGCATGACTTTTGCAGACAGTTCCACAACACCAATTTTCTTTCTACAGAGGATGGTTGTTATTGTCTCTGCACTTTCAGATGCTCTTCAGGATGGACACAGCTAGCTACTAAACCCACTACCAAGCTGAATAATTTCAATATTACCTTTGTGAATTGATTTCAGAAGGAAATGACTTGTTTAATATGTCAATCTTTGAATGTGAAGCATTTAGTTCATATTTTTTTTTCCAGAATAAACATTTCCCCCAAAAAAGTAACAGAATTCCAAACACGAACCAATGACTACCTGAACTAAACTAATGTCAAGTTCAGAGAAGACAAAGAACTCCCTTGTTCATAGAAATTGCACTTTTTTTCCCTAATCAATGAAGATTTTATTATTTTCCTCAAGTAAGGATTTTGTCCAAATCCTACATTTAATTCAAACCAAGGCTACCATGTTGCTCACGTAACACAAAGCAAGTCACAAAGACATGCAGCAAGTGTTTAATCTTCAGTGGAAAATCTAGTGGTTAACCATGCAAACAAATTATTTAACATTTTGCTCAGGAATCATTGCATTTCTAACTCCAGAGTGGTTAACATCTGCATGTCATTTCAGGAGCACATAGTTATGGTCAGGACATCCACAGTCTGTATCCCCTAAAGCAAAAGTGTGGCAGTTAAGGTTCTAAGGATCTTGACTCAACCAGACCATTACATTTTCCTTCCCCTGTAAATGATCTGAGGTAATTTCGACAACCAGAGCTGGAAAATTTATCCTCAGCTAAACAAATTATGAGTCTACAGAATGGTTAAATTCAGAAAAAGACTGAGAGTAGCAACCTGGAAATTGAAAAAAACACATTGGCTACCAATACTGAAGTAATGCAACCACAGGAAAAATAAATCTAGCATGATATGTCTTTAAAGAGGTATCATGCATAGGGACAAAGATCAAAAGCAATTTTCCCCTCTGTTTGTGAGGACAGCAATAGTATTTCCAGTGACTTATTAAAAGACCACTGAATTGCTTATAGTCTTTTCCATTAGGAAGATACAGAGAAAAAAAGATCCTGTATGACACCCAGAGGATAGGAATAATAATAGAACGTGGAAAATACAACCTGTTTGCAGCAAATTAGGATGGCATATCTAGGCACAAATGGCATGCAGTAACTTAAACACTCCTAAAAAAAAACCTTCACAGTGGAAACATGAAATGCATTGTGGAATAATCCATCTTTGGATGTAAGTGCTATTCATGCTTTGAAATACTAGGTCAGTGAAGCACTTCTTTAAAAATTGAATGTTGTAATGTCTTACATGGTAGAAAACACTTTTAGCAATTTATGCCCAATATGAAAAGAACAAAAGATGTACAAAGATAATTCACTTCTGTGTTTGCAGAGACACAGCAAAAGTAAACAAAGGATTGCAGTGTAAGAGGCTCTGGGAAAGCTGGTAGTGACACAGAGCCTGTAACTGCCTTTGTACAACTCCCCTGCTACAAGCACTTAGTTTCAGTAGCTCTGGGTCAGTGGACAGATTGCTTTACCCAAGAAATCTTCTCCCCACCTGTGGAACTTCTCTGAAGCTTTAAACATGGAGGTCCACATGGCCCAAGAATGGCATGACAGGATCTTCTCTCACATAATTTCTAATAATTCTGCATACTTCAAGGAGCAAAATCCTCTTAAATCTACAGTCTACTCTTCCTATAGCTATGAACATAAACAGAAATTTGCTGTGCACTGAAAATCAAAGTGAGTTAAAAAACTTGAGAGAGTAGCTCCATTCTTTGAAAATTCTTCCCAAAAGTTAGTACCAAAGAATCTGCAGTTGAGTATTTGTTCCTTATTTAGCCATTTTATTTTGTTAACTTTTAAAACACAAATGCAGTTATAAAACAGCACAACTTAGGATAAATTGGAAAATGGTATCATTCAATTATAAAAAAAAAATCTAATGGAGACAAAACCTGGCATGATTTAAACTTAAAGAGAAGGTTACTAGAAATATGTTCTGTAGTATTCAATAGTGTTCTGTGGTGGCATAGAGATTTCAATGAATCACTAGATTGCCTCAGGAATATCATTATTGATCTCATGGATAGAATCTGACAACACATTATTTATAAGCAGGACCCAATTAATAAAACTGTAGTTTTCAAAGAGATATTCAAAACTTACACACCCAAATTCCACTGAAATATGAGCATCCAGTTCAAATTAAGTTTCTGAACATCTCTCACTATGATTCTCCCAATCCCAAAGCACACTATAATTCCTTCTTCTAAGACAGGCTTTGTTATTATATCACCTTTCTCATATAGCTCTTCCATCGCTCTCCAGGTTTCAGCTCGGACCTCTCGATTGCTTTTACCTGGAACTTGTGCATCAGGCCAGTGAATCAAATAAAGATCTAAAAAAGAAACAGAACCAGACTGCTTATTAAAGTGTCCAAAAAATAAATGTATCAAACCACATGAGACAGCATTTTCCCTCCACAGTGGTCCCTAACACATGATCATCATAATAATTCCAATTACTACTCAGTAGTCACTACTGGATGTATCCAGTTAATTGTAATAAATTAATTCTATAACATCACATTAACAGCTAAGGGTAGCCGAACTCACACATGTTCCACATGTTTAGGTCACTGTAAGAATTTCATGGTCACATATGCACTTAATATAACTTTCCACACATAACAGGCCCTATTTAAATCAAAAGTATTTTGGTCACTGGACTTATGAGTGGACTACTACTTATTAAGTGCTGCAAGTCTTCCATTTCACAGAAGATAAATATGTTTGACAGTTCTGCAGATATTTTATACAACCTCAGTAGTGGGTCTTTTTCCTTTCTAAAGAATACTTACGAATTTCTGTTGGAAATTATAGCACATTCTTTATGCAGGTGTTTTTGTCTAAGTTTCATGTCAGCCTTTGTGAATTTTTAAAGAAATTTTTTAAAATCGTATTTTAATAGAACAAAATTACGCTTTATTACATTTTTTTGAATGATAGCATGATTTCAAACACAATTAAGATTTACTGCTAATGAAATTATCATAGAAACTTTTCCTAACATCCAACCCAAACCTTCCCTGACACTGCTCCATGCCATCCCTTGGGTTACTGGTCACCAGAGAGAAGGGAGCAGTGCTGCCCCTCCACTGCCCCTTGTGAGGAGGCTCTTTCTGTGTTGTCTTCCTGCAAGAGAAGACTGTCCTTCGATTGAAAAAGGAAGCATTTCCAACATAAATTAAGAACTGTATAAGTACTGGACTCAAGAGTTCCAAATCAGATTTAAATTTTAAAAATCACAAATCTATAACTACTTTACAAGTTTGTAGACACTGTTAGACATTCTGAAGGAGAAATTTAGAGATACTTGGAAAACAATTACATTTCTATTTAAATTCTAACTGCAGATTAAACAGATAACCGCAGGTATCCAAGTAAAACAGGTTTTGGCCTTTGCTGCATATATTAGTCTGATGAGAAACGGGAAAAGAAAATAAATAGATGACTGCGACATGTACCATTTTTGGAGTGTTTTTATAATACTCCTTTCCTGGCAGTTCAAATAGAGTAAAGAACTAAAAAACCCAACTTGTTTGCAATGAGAAGAATGTTTTGTTCTTTGAATACACAACGCCGTTCATTTACAGGACTTCTTTGTGAAAATACAGATCCTCTGCTTTGGGAATCATCACAAAATGGGGAAAAAAAAAAAGAAGAAAATTCCTCTTAATCATAATTTAAGGATTACACTAATGATTACTCTAACCATGGGTCCCTCTAAAAATACAACTTCAACCTTGATTTAAGATGAAATGTAGTATGAAATTAATTATAATATACCAGCTCCAATTTTGGTACATCGCAACAACCAAGTGCTTTACTTACCTTAGGAATCTAATTAGAACGGTACAGAATTCTGTACAGAAAATACATTAAAGATGTAGGAAGAAAAATGTTATTTTGGATGTGTCACAAAATCCACAAGTTCCATTTGTACTTCCTGATATCAACCACCCATTTAAATACAATTTTAAACTCTCAGACTTTTACATACACTAGCTCAGAAAAGCCAATAATCACTCATATGTGATCACCTGCAGCATCTGGTTTTGCATCACATTTAAGGAAAAAGTTGCTCGCTCTTTCCCATTTTATCCATAAAATCCACTTCCAATTCCACATGCAGTCTTATTGACCTAAATCTATCTAAATTACTTCTTTACTAATTTCTCTGAGCAATGAAGCTGTATTTGTTAAAAGTAAATACCAATATGTGGTATTGGAATAAAAACCAATTCTGTGACATTTAACTGAAAACTAGTATAGGGATATTGATTAAAGCATTTGGTGAAGTTATGTTCAAAACTCAGGAGTACTCACATCCTGTTGCCAATAAAATTTCTACTGATTTATAAGACATAAACCCAAAGGATTACCTTTAAGAATTGCTAATATCAAGTGATCATTTTGATCCAAAATGATACATGCTACTGGCGCTACTTACTGCATAGAGACTGCCATGCTTGTTTTTAAACTTTTTTGCTTGTACAAAGCAAGTGTCATATATAAGCAGGTGTAAATTACTGGGATCTGATACCTACCTCCCAGAAAAATGTAAGAATTACACCAGAATTAAACAAGACTAATAAAAACTGCTTAACTATTAAAAAAAAAAGTCATTTAGCAAAAATAAACAAACTTCAGCAGAATTTCACCACCAGTTACTGCTTCAAAAGCCTGACAATTCAGTTAGACACTAGAGTTTGCAAATACTCACAGAAATAGTTACATAATGGATTTCCACAGACATAGATGCATTGTACTCATCTCAGGAAACTGAAACATTGTCCAAAGAAAGACTTTCAAGAGCTTTGATAACTGAAAGATCTCTGGCCTTGGACATCCAAGAAAATGCAACACATCCCCTTTCTCTGTATTAGTGTCTGAGGCCTCTGATGCAAACAAGATTAGCTGTTGGTCCTTTATTGTAGAAAGGTTTTCTTACCAGGTACACCATGCCCATATCATCTAATTATGTTTACGCCAATTTAGGCTTTTTCATTGAAATAAAAATTACTTAACATTTTAAAATATTGGCATTTAGGACTAGAAAGCATCTCCTGGATCACCAGGTACAGTCTTCCTGACTGCAAAAAGTGTTCATGAAAGATGTGGGGCAAAGGTGCCTTATCTAATAGACAAAGAGTAGAATAGTCCTGCCAGTCATGTGTAAAGCACCCCAGCACAGCCAGGACCTTACTTCTGTTGCAGCTGTTAGAAAACTTTCCCTCATACCTGCAGGCCAATAAAAACAAGCACCTCACAAACCAAGGTCTGTGATTTCATCCTTATTTGTACACACATTCACACCTTACACCCACACACACATTTTCTTTTGCTTAAAGTATTTTCCCTCCTGGGCTACTGTGAGAACACAAACACTCTTAAATTCCTTTTGGAGGCAAGAAATTACCTTTAAATCATTGACTGAAATAGCTTAAAGTTATACTAATCAAGAAATACATAACTTTATCACTGAAGGTTTTTAAGAAAAGACTACATTTTTGTTGAGAATGAGGTTGGTGTCTTGTAGCATGGGAAAGATTAATCAATATCTTGAGATGCCTTCTAACAATGTATTTTTTAAAAATAATCTTAAATCAAAAAATCCACCTTGATTCACAGTATCAAGAGAAAGAAGGAAAAAACCTCCAAACATTCACAATCTGGTTTCGTATTTAACAGCTTTTTAAAACATCCTTTGCAGACAGTCATGCTGTAATGGTGCAGCAGTGAGCAGCGGCCTGAAGGTCATTAAATGTCAATGCACAGTGGTGCAGGAAACTAACACTTGAGTTGCTTTCACACACACATTTAAAATAGAATGGCTTATTGCTTCTTAGCGGTTACAGCACCTACAATCAACACACTTCCTCTTAACTGCAAAGTACAGGGCCATTTTACACATTTAAAAGCTAATATGATGTTGTTGTGGAAATAAAATTCTGCAATTCTATGCAAATTCCTAATACAATGTTTTTTTAAAAGTCAAATTTGAAGTCCCATGAAAAACAAGCCCAGCCTTCTATGAAGTCTAAAAGCAAAAGCATATTCTGCAATGCTTCCCAGCTGTCTTAATGCTGGGAATCATATTTCCTTGCTTTTCTCAACAGTCACTGAACTTAATATTGATATGATGTATTTTTCTTTCTCACTCAGTCCTTTTTGTTTTGTTTTGTGTTTGCTTCTATTGAAGAAGGATCAATGTGAAACAATCTACAAAGTGTTTTCAAGCACTTCAGAACCTGAATTATGATAATAAACTAATTTCATGTGGTTCATCTATTATAATGAAGATGCTGATAGTGCATTTGTCCAGCTCCAGCTGGGAATTTTTGATAGGACAGATTTGCCTGAATGGGACAAATTTGGAACAGGCAAAAGGAAAATAAAATTGTTTATGAATTTGGTAACCCTCAAATCAGCATTCAAGAAGTTAGAAGCTTGGATCTAAATCCAAAGGAATGTATTCTGCTACTGCCAAACCTGTAAAATCTGCTGCCATTCCATATTGGTTTACTGTGACTGCTAGTTGAGGATCACATTTAGAAAATGCAAGGAGCAGAGTATCTGTTACAACCACTGACCACAAATAATACAAATTTCCATCATGTCATGGATATATAATCTACCAGCTCAAATGAAAATCTTGGAACACTGGTCTCCTAGTACCATTTGTCTGAAAAGTGTTCACTGAAAAGGTTTCACAAAAAGTATTTTACATGGAGCACTTTTTATCTTAAAAAACTGTGACTGCTGTCAACAGTTCACATTCCATATGCTGATAATGCACAGATTTATTAATTCCTATTAGATTATTTCTCAGGTTTCTTATTCAGTCTTTATGGATGAACAGGGTAACTCATAAGAACACTCAAGAAAATTAACAAAGACCTTAGCTGCACATTTAGCTGCCAGGGCTCCTGTAGCTTTTTCTTTTTGCACTCTTCTGAATAACTAACTTTCCCTCTAACATAAAGATCTAACATCACAGATATATTATTTAGGATCTTTCAGTTTTCTTTACAAACTATGTATCTTTACAGAAGATGTGAACCCCCACATACTTGTTTAATACCATAGAATGAAATTAGAGAATTCTGATTTATTTTATCACCATTGATTTAGGTCACTATAGCAGACTAAGTGGCTCAGGAACAGCTTTATAAATTTTTGAGACATCTCCACATCAGTGGAAGAAGGGTGAAGAAGAAGGTAAGATAGACAAGGTTATTAAGGAACAAAAACAAAAATATAAAAAGAGGAAAAAATCAGTATGGAGACTAATAGTGCAGGCAGCTGTACATTCCTAAATTGGTCTTGGCAATATGTGCACAAGAAGTCTCAGGTCTGAACACATCTGACAAACAAGTTCTGTTTATGCCATTCCAAGGATTCACTCACATGGAGACAGCATATTTCTTGCTCTCAGATATTCTTTTTCTTCTTTCAGGAATTTCTGCTTAGCAGAAACTCTGTATTTGTGCAAGCATTTAGTCCAATCTACTACCTGAGATAATAAGTACAACTTACAGAAGGAATCACTGCAAATGACTTCTTGGAAGTGAGTCAAGTTTTCCTCTCATCAACATTCAGCACCAGTGCCAGAGCAAGCAGAAGAAAAAAGAAAGCAAACACAAAATGAAACAAGCAGAAAACAGAGAGGAGGAATAATGTTATTTCTCAATTAAAAGGAGAAACTCAGGGCTTGAAACTTTGTTTATGAGGGTCTCATAGCAGTGACCTGCATTTGTACAGGACAAACAAAAAGGAATTTTCATTCATTTTGCATTATTCTGTACCTGTAGAGGAAGTTAAGGAATACATTTCCAGAAAGAATGGAGCCAAAAATGTGCATACAAGTATCTCTGTCCTTAACAGATAGAAGATTTTCCCCTGTTCACCTTGTAAAGTACTCAAGTAAAAAAAAGACAATGAATACAGCAGACAGCTGCCATTAACATTATACATTATTAATTCAGCAAAATTCACATCCTCATTGAAGTATATTGATAAAATAAGCAAATATCATGTGTATTTTCACGTACCTCCTTTCCCATGATTTGTTGCAAAGAATTAATTGGCATCATTACTGCAACTCTGCCTATCTAATAAGGGAGTAATAATATCACATATTTGACAAGGAGTTTATGATCTGGGTAAATTTACAAATCCACTGTTAGTTAAACTTTTAGTCTTCTAAATTCTTGTAGATACTTCTAACATTTTCTCCAAAGAATATTCCATCAAACAGACCAAACCAAAGATGGTATTCAGAATTTTAAAAAGTTAAAAGATCTACAAAGTAGGTTTTAGAAAGGACTCTATTCCTTGAGAAAAAGAAAACAGATCACAGAAGAAACCAGCATCTTTGTCACCCCATTCCAAATATATTATTGTAAAGTTAATGAATCCTTGTTTCATAGGTTTTGAGTGTTTTTAGCAAAATATAGAAAACTAATGTAGTTGCTCCTCAAATAATTTAACAATAAAAAATACCTTTACAAAACCTTTGCAACAAGAAAAAACACTGGACTCTCAACTGCATGCATGCGAACTTCTAGAGAGCAGAACAAGATACCTGCAAATGTGTAAATAAAGGTAGAATTTGGGTTTCATGACACATCTGTACTACAAAAAATATTTTTTTCAGAATTTATTCATCCTTGCAAGTATTCCTTGCAAGCTTGGAAAGCACAATAAATGAGCTATATGTAAAAATCCGTACCAAGATATTCAACACCAAGTCTTTCACATGACTCCAAGCAGGCCTTTTTTGTGTTTTCATAGCCATAATCACTGTGCCACAGTTTGGTAGTTATCCAGAGGTCCTCTCGCTTCACACCACTCTCTCTGATGGCCTTTTGGATGAGCGATTCACAGCCGTATCTTTTTGCTGTGTCAATATGACGAATGCCACATTTCCTCAGGGCATGGACCACTGCGGCATGGGAATAGCCACCCTGGTGGGAAGTACCTAAACACACAAAAGCAGAAGTGAATTGTCAGCAGTGAATTATGAGTGGCATATTTTATAATTGCTTTAAATTTTTCCTTTTTCTTTTTTTTTTTTAATATATTGTCAGAAAACCTTCTTATTTAATTTTCATTTCCCAATACTAAAGAAATGAGAACTGACTGATCTTTAGGCTTGGAAAATACATGAAGTGGGAGAAGATAGTGCTGATCAGAAGCAGCTCCATCAAAATCAAGTATCAGCAGCATTTAAATGTAGAGAAGTGATTCAAGGAGGTAGTAGGCTGAATATCATCAAAGAGAAAACATACTTGATGGAAATTTAGTATATGTCTCCTAATTTTCATACAGAAGCATAACATTTATAGATGAAAATATTTTTAAAAACATGAAAACCTCAACAACTTTTAAAGTCATTTACTTTGCAAAAAGTCTATCCCGGAATCTTTACTCTGTTGAACTCCTGGTAGCTTGAGATCATTGTTGCATTGTACAATCCCAGGCTGGGCCATAGTGCAGGTGCCATTCACATAATGTCAAATTCAGCAGTAACCAAAACAATGGAATCCTACAAATGAGTTACAGAATGGGCATGCAGCAAGTTTCAGTAACAAGATCCTGTAACACTGTCATTGTGTGGGGATTCACTGGACGTGTATTTTGCATGTCAAGGGGACGGAAGGAGGAGGAGACTCAGCAGGAAGAGCAACCAGCAGGAGGACTTCAGATAAAGAACTGGTTGAGAGCAAGGAGGATGATGTTTCTACTTACCCTTTCCTGTTAGTTGCTTTTCCTGCCATAAGCCCCTCACCCATTCACCCTCACTCCACACACTTCCCACAAACAGTATTTTCTACAGTTTGTTGGAGGAAATGCTCGGCCAGTTCCAGTCAGCTCCCAAAGTCACCTCCTTCCAAGCTGATTAGTACTTAAAGGCCCTCACGCCATAAACAACAGGCAGCACGAAACAGCTCCTCACAGACTTGAGACAAGGCCCTGAACAGGTCACAGCAACAGGGCTTCAGCCACTGCTAAATCTAAATAAATGAATAAAGGACTCCAGGTTAAAGAATTATTTAAAGTGAAATGTGTACCTGCTCTTATGCTTCTCTTTCCCTCCAAACATGGTACTTATTTCAATGCTCAAAGTCATTTAAACTAAGATACAATATGGTCTGATCTCCCACCCAAACACATCAGGATCACAACATCCTTCTGATCACAAAAGGACAATTTTCACTTTTCATTTGAGACCAACAAAATGTGGAGTAGTAAATTCTTGACTTATTTTCATGGATTTTGAAGTGATGAAACTGTAATATTACATCCCTACAATTTTGACATGCCCATCATAAGTAATTTACTTTCCAAACATAAACAAAGTTTTCATGTTCTAAAAGACAAAACTTTAAATCTTCTTTTTTCAAAGCCATTAATAATGATTACTAGTTGGCTTAACTTCTGAGCCAACTAGAAATAAATGTCTCTAAAACTTGTTTTACATCAAAATAACTTCAGCTAAGTCAACTTGGTTTTCAAAATAGCTATTTCAAAATCCTCATGAATTTTAAGAATTTTTAGTTTAAGAATTTTAGATGATTACAATGCTACTACATTACAATTATGGCCAAAGACTATATATGCAATTTTACATTAGTCAAATCCTATGGGAATTTTATTACAGAATTATATAACTAGCACAGAAAAATTACTATACTTCTTCACAACAAACCCTTCACTTTTAATATGCTGGTACTGGTGCAAAATAAATGAGGTTGTAACTATTGTGTCTGTTTCTGGCTGAATGGACATTTCTAAACACAGAATGAATGGAGTTCATTTAGAGGTCTTGCAAATGGACTCAGACTCTTCATGCATAATGGATTTCAGTAAGAACATTAAGGACAAACAACTTTTTTTTTTTTTTTCTTAATTTAACCCTTTAATTTAAAGGGAGAGAATGGTTAAGAAGGAAAAATCAGAATAATTTTGTTATTGTTCCCCATTCAGTGATGGTATACACACTCGTTACACAAGAAATAAAGACAGCAAGATCAAGCTGGAGGAAATTATCTCAATTTCTATGCCTAAAAATGAACTACAACAGTCCTGGTGCACTACACAGTAATTAAAAAGGAATCAACAACTATTTAATATCACCACTTTGCAAGCCAAATTAATCATTAACAATAGGCTGATAAGTTAATTTTGCTACAAATATAACACTTTGCATCTTCAGAAACCACAGTTTTCTCGTGTTCACACATGTGATTAAAGAAGTTACAAGTCATAAATATAGAAAGATGACAAAAGTGAAGTGACTGAACTTACTGATTCTTTTTCTATTAGAAATTCAAACAATGCTATTTAAACTCATTAACATTTTTACAGGTTTGGGATTCATTCCCCTTTGCTCATAGAGATGTAATTCACACTGAACATACCTACTTAAAGACTGAATATAATCATGCATTTAAAACTAGTATTAACCTGCACCCTTTCCATCCTCTTCCTATTTCTAAAAATATTTAATACATTTTTTCCCTAGAATTTGTTGATAAGAAATAGGAATTCCTTTCAAGAAACTATCTCAAATATAAGTAAGTTTGGGAACGCTTCCTATTTTTTAGCTAATATTTTAACTTATTTCCTAGGGAAATAGCACTGTTACCTCACTGACTGAACTAAGCCAAATTTGACAGATTGCAAGACGTGCAAGATCATTACATTCCTATGGATTTTGTGAAAAACTGGTGGTTGTAAGGGACAAGGATACTGCAGGGAAAATATGGATAGGTCTGAGGACACAAATGCATGGAAAGCAGGCTTACTTGGTTACGCTGTTATTTTGTCACAGTTACTCATCACTTTCTCAGTACCCTGAAGAACACTGCCATCAAAACTGGAGTGAGAGAATGTTCTGACAACCCATAAAAAGATACAAAAATTATTAGAAAGACAGACTCCTGTTTACAATGCAGCTGCTACAGGGGAAAAAAAAACCTGACATGTCATTCAGCAACACCACCCCCAACACCTCAGAAACAGAAAATCAGCAACATCTTGACCCCTGACCCCACCAAATATGTAAAACAAGTAACAAGCCACCCGCTATCCCCCCTGCCAGATTTATGCACAAGCTCAGCCTCATTAAACTTTCTGTTCTCCCTCACAAAGCTTCAGAACTACAGAGAGAGAGATCCAAAGCACCAACAGTTTTTCAAAACAGAGCAAGGATCTGCTTTCCCTCCCTGCTTTCTCCCTCTCTCTGTGGCAATGTGAAACAATTATTCATTTGAATATATAAAAATGTCCAGTGACATGAATAACTTTGGCTACTTGATTCCAGTGAAACAACATTAGGAAAGTTCCAGCTGGTAAAACCCCAGCCAGAATATTTAGAGACCACATCAGAGATTAATGATCTTCTGATATCAGTAGTAAATTTTAAAGAGTTGACAAGGACAACACCTGTAAAAATACCATTCCTTGCTTTTTTTTATCTCCAAGTAATCACTTAAAAACTCTCAAAAGCAAAAGCTCAAACATTCTTTTTTCAACTTTTACACACTCATTGTGTATATATGGTATTGTATATCATACTGGGCTTGAAATATTTGATTCTATTAGTTTTATTTCTACTATTTCAATCTTACATCAATAAAATACATCTTATGAATACATTGAATTTTTTGGTGTTCATATAGTTTGATCTCCAAATTACCTTATGAGAAAATGTGATGATAAAACATAATACATAATGCAAATGAACATATAACACATTTCAAGGTTGCTAATGCATTCACATAACCACATGCCTCTTCTGAGGAAAGGCTCAAGGACAGACAATCCTTACTTGCTGTCTGTCTTATATCCTCCTTCTGATTTTGTATTCATATGATCCTCTGACAAGCTGACTAAGATTGCTAAATGGCCAAAAAAAGAGAGTACAGTTTCAGAATTATTCATGAACCTGAATAATTCCTCAGAGAGGAAACCCACTAAAAGGGATGGAGCAAAACAAGTTCCCCCTTTAGCAGCAGCAGTTAAATAATTTGATTTAATAAATGCTTTTATTCAAATTTAAAAAAATAAATTAAAATCACACTTGTGTCCTAGCCAGTCAACAAAGAACCAGAAAGACATTCTCCATGAACTTTTCTCCTGAAGCCCTTCTTTCTGTTACATTCCCCAACACCATCCCTACAGCTGCTCTCAGACAAGCTGATAATGTCACACTAACTTTCTATTACTGCAGCACTAAAACCCAAGGGTTCTTACTGCCATAGTAAACTATTTGGCATAGTTTTATCTAACAGGGTCAGTTACTCTGAAAATCCTATGCAGTTTCTGATGACATAGACAAGGATCCTCTCTCTTCCTAGAGTGTAGTGCTTCCCTCTGCAGCAGGTGAAACCAAAGTCAACCTCACTATGAGGTTACCACACTCTACAATTCTCATGAGGCAACCAGAGACTATTTAAAGGTAAGAGATCCACATTGAATAACAATTACTTTTACAAAGTAACTTGGATATTTTATTCAGAGTACAGAACTGGCACCCAATGCACATATAAAATAGGGCAGCTACTCCTGAGGGAATGGAGCCTACGGAGACAAAGGGCTTCTGGAAAAACTGGAAGGACACCATCAACAATAACTTAAAGACACTAAGCAGACTCCCATTTTGTAATCAATGGTTTATAATCGGTCAGAGCAAAAGCAGCACACTGGTTTATCTAAAACTCAGTCAGTTAAGGCAAGTTTCTCTTGCCTCTGTAGAAGTTATTTGGATTATGAATGGTTTAAGTTTTTTAGTATCTAAGTTTTACTTCGGTAATGCTTCCCATTCTTTTGTTTGCTTGTTTGTCTGCTATATATGATCCATTACTTAGTGCAAAGGTGTCACTCTGGGAGTGTTTTTACCCTGTGCAACTCAGAACACACTAATAGAGTTCAGTAACATGAGCAAAAAAAGCAAGCATGTTTTTAAACTCTGCAATTCTACTCAGGCAAGTCTACACAGGCACCAAGATACTAATGCAGGAATACAGCCTTGCCTCAAGGCATGAGGGTAGGATAGAGCCATTACGTGTTTATTATGTATCCAGGGAAAGGGAAGCCAGAATTGCAGGTTTTCTCTCTTCCTGAGAGGAAGGAAGAAATGGCAATGAGCCACTGTTGACAGAAGCACTCTATTCCCTCCATCCCAGAGAGGCTCTGACTGTAAAGGATATTCAGATCATCTACTGTAAAATGACCACACATTTCTGTTCACTGACCCACCATTTATCTCCTCAGAACCTCAAACAGAGAATAGGTGGAAGAGTAACTTCTCAGAATGTGTCTCGTGGCAATCCCAGAAAGTCTGCAAGTGGCATCTGGTATCAGGGGGATGCTATTGCTCTGATATGGCACCAATTCATTAATGAATTTCTGGCAGCAGTATAACTATCACCCCAAAAAATGCAAATTTTCTTTTCAGCAACAGTAAAGAGATTTCCACTGGAAAAGTGCCAGCTATTTATATTATTCATCTGTAGTAGTAGTAGTCAAATATTTTAATCATGCAGG